CCGATTACGGATTAACCCCTTGTCAGTTCTGTAAAAAGAAAAACGGTCAAGGAACGTGATATCCGCGGATATCACGTCGTTCAGTAAAAGGCACAAAACGCGTATTGTGCCTTTTTCTGAATATTCATTTGGGCCCTGGTTCCTGGAGATATAATGTCAAAATTTTTAGATCCTTCATTGGGCTGAGCCGTGTCCGAATAGCTGGCGAATCCATGGGGTGGATATGAGGGCATTTGGGGGCTTATATCATCGCCCTCCCCGCAGCCACAGCGCCGAACTAAATAAAATTTGCCGTTTATTTTAAAAGAGAGAGAATAAATAACTGTTATTAAACAAAGCTCGATTAAAAGGGAACAGCAATGCATGAGAAATCGAAATCCGATGATTTTTTTTTATTTGAAGAAACTGTTATGGCATGCGCCATTCGTAACGTCCGAGACCGCCTTTCTGGATCTGCCTGTGCTTCAGGGACAATTTCCCGGGAGCGTGTTTCTGCTTACCTTCGGCGCTTAACGACTGATTCGCCGCTGATACAGAGTGTCTCCTATACATCTGACACTTTTTAAATGTATCTAGGTACCGAACAACTCAACAAAAAAATGTTTTCAAATTGGCAGTTGAAAATGGTTCAGTTGGAAAGAGCATTCAATTCTGTCCAAGGTTTAATCTTCATTTTTGCATTATAAGCAACAGTATTCTTAAAAATGTACCTAAATGTTCCATACCATTACATTGTCATTTTTAGCGAAATTCATCGATTGGCCTCAACAGATTTCACGACAGTTTTCGAATCATTCTAAAGTAGAACGCATGAAAATACGACACGGGCACCTCGATGCGATGTATTTTTTGTTTTATTACAAAATGCTTGGCCGTCAAAAAGCAATCGAACGAAATGGATACCAACCAAATCGACACAGACCAACCCAATACACACGGGTAAAAAAAAAACCTTCGCGTTGCGGAGCACGCGGGTAACCCTAGTATACCTATACCTACCTAGAGTTCACCTATGCAGTTACTAGTGCTTATGCATCTCGCCGAGCCGATCGACCGGCGCAGCGACGGCCAGCCGAAGGACAGACGAGGCACAGTAGAGGCACGCATTTTTTTTTTTTTTTTAATATAAATTTAGCTCGAATGTTTGAATGGACGGATTGACAGAGCCGGAGCCCACGCTAAGCAGAGCTTGTTGCGTAGACCCCGATCCCTACCGTCCGATCGCGCAATTCCGGGTATCGGGAGAATTTAGATGCCAAAGTTTAACGTGCCCTTCAAAGCCGGACACGGCCTGCCCCACTCAACTGACTTCAACTGGCTGCGGCTGCTCCCACCAACCGCAGACCATCCCCGTCAGGAGTCTAAGGTCACGCATTCAAACCAAATTCCACAGAAAATGGAAAAGAGGGAGACTGGAGTGTGGAGAATGCCGAGCTTACGAGTGCATACTGCATATCAAAGTCGTTCTCATAGAAAAGTGGCTTAGTATGGAAAACCTTCATTTGTGGCGCCGTGAATTGACAGGCTATGTAGGCCGTGCATGTAGGTGCCTACAACAGAAATTTAACCCTCGCACCGACGGGGGGGCGGATATCCGCCCCCCTGAGGTTTTTCGCGAATAGCGGGAAAACCGCGGCGCGTAGCGCCGCGAAATTTGGTATGACTATAACCTCATCAATTTTACACATGGTGTGCAAGTTTGAACCTCCTACCTTTCAAGGTCAGGTCACCAGGTCACTTTGAATGACCCAACCTCAAGTCACTTTTTTGCAACTTTGTCACCGTGCCAGAGCTACAGTAGATGTCGGAGGCCTTTGAAAGTCGCAGGATATTATTAGGTCATTAGTAGCTACAATTTGTATATCTCGGAATTTTGATATCGGTGACCTAAGGTCAGGTCAATTTCGCGACCTCCCCATTATAAGTCAATGGGGGAAAAATCAACTCCCTGTTTTTACCACTAAAACGGGTCGGAATGGCCCCATATACCATACATGACTTCATATACGATCAACCTTCACTACCTTGAGGTCTGTTTTGCTGTTGGGCAGCTGTGAGGTCATGTGACGTCATCAAAGGTCACCAAAGGGTTTTGGCCAATAACTCCGTACAGGAACAAGATACAGACGCGTGGATGGTCTCATTGTGTTCAGGTCATCAAGACGCATCGAATGATATACATGATGACCTCGAGGTCACGTGACCTGAGGTCAACCTTTGACCTTGACCTTTCGAGGTCAACATATATATCATTCGATGCCGATTGACGAGAGGATCACGATGATGCCCTTAGTTCGTTCCTATCTTGACTAATTCGAAAGTTATTCGAGAAAAACTCTCTCCATATCTAGCGCCGCCATTTTGACTTTTTCGACCCCTGTGACGTCATCTTTGACCTGGCCTGAAAATGACCTTAGTAAAAATTGTATATCTTGGCCGTGCGTATCCGATGCCGTTTACCGCTTGTCGCTATCTTGCTTCGTTCTCGAGATCTCAGGGGGGGGGCGGTCATCCGCCCCCCCCCCCCCGTCGGTGCGAAGTTGGCGCAGACCCCCGTCGGTGCGCGGGTTAATTGTGTTTACTATAAGGGTAGGTAACTAGTATTAGTAATTTCATAGGGAAACGTCCTGAGAACGATACCAGGGAAAGTTTTGTCGGAATATTTAATTCTCGCAATTAAAGGGTTACGTGTTGCTACTTACGATCAACGATTTTATGACGACTTACATAGTAACGATTTGCGAAAAACTGTATTTGCTTTCTCAGTCCAATTTCATCAACACATTTAGCTATGCCTATTATGTTTCATGTTTGGTTTCGCGCTACAGTGAGGTGAGACACTTAAAAAATATTTCGGCCTCATCCACTTAACTATCTACTGGTTCATTGGTTTGTACACGGCAGTGTTCCGATGAAGATAAAATGACACATGTCAATTTCTATTTAGCTCCTACTATACCAGTATAACGCCTTATGGGCGACTAACGGAGCGAGCGAGAGGGTGAGCCTTGCACGTGCGAAATTTCGAGGGGGTACCTCCAGCTGACTTGTGCACGGCACCCTACTAACCGGTCTCTAGTGATGTGCCAAATTTGAGCACAATCGGCCCAGCCGTTCTCGAGATCTGGAATCGGCACCCTGCACGTGCGCACGTGCAAAATGGGTCCCAACTGACTTTCGCACGGCACCCTACTAACCGGTCCCTAACCATGTGCCAAATTTGAGCGCCATCGGTCCAGCCGTTCTCGAGATTTGGAATCGACCCCTGCACGTGCGCACGTGCAGCAGCACCCCAACTCTGGCACATGGATATGCATTGCCTAGTGGGTGCCTACCAACATGCCAACTTTCAGCGCAATCGGCCAAGTAGTTACCGAGATATTGCAACAATTACAAAAGTGACACCTCTTCGTTTTGCACGTGGCACGTGCATAAGGGGTCACCCACATGCATCGGCAATAGTCCAATACTTGGTAGAAGGAATGAAGCTACCCTACAAAAATTACCGCGTGTAAATTGGTCAAGTGGTTGCTGAGATATAAGCCTCGCAAAAGCGTGACCACGGCCGGCCGGCCGGCCGCTCATATTCAGAAATTTCCGTTAATAAAGGGACCCTCCCAGTTCCCACCTTCAAAAAAGTAAATGAATTGGCATGAAAGTGATGTCGCTCGGTTCAGAAAGAGCAAAAACGAATATCTACCTAATTTCATCGAAAAATATTCACCGGTTTTCAAGATATTAGACTTTTACTTTTGTTTACTTTTTGGGATCTTCGCTGTTCTTATAGCGACTTTATTTGAAAGTGCGGCATTTGTTGCGCGCAAAGCAGCATATACCACCGCGTGCTACAAAACGTTTTAGTCAAACATTTAAAAATCGTTAGATGTATGAGATGACGTCACACATTCAGAGGGGTATTCCTATGCATTAGCCCCTCTGAATCAAAATGCTGCAATTTTGAAATTCAATATTTCCGATTTAAGGCATTTCTCGATGTTGTGAGTGCCGAAACCGGTACCTAATTGTGAGCCAGGGACCCCATTTTGGCTATCTCAACTCAAATCTAATGTTAAGATGGGAGGGTCCCTTTAATCTAAGGAAAGACTACGCTCGCTTCGCTCGCTCCGTAATAATTGCCTGTTTTCTTACACTTCATAGACATAAACAAACGTCAAATCGTCCTGCAGATGTTGTAATCCCATTCTTTCTCTTGCCCCGGCCCCCTATACTCCACCCGGCCCAAGCGGGTCCGCCCGCGCTCCACGTGGTCCGGCCCGGCGGCTGGTGCTGTCCTCCCCTCATCCGTGCCGCTGAGCTCTGAAGCGCGGGTGCCCTAAAACCATGAATCACACCCACCCGGCCCGAGCGCCAGTAGCCATGCGGCTCGGGCCCGGCCCGAGCCGCATGGTCCGGCCCGGGCGGGTCTGGCGGCTGTGGATGGCACCGGCCTCATCCCTATCGCGTTGTTGAGGAGTGTACCTGGCAAAGCACAGTGGAACGGGCAGCCTCATTGGTCGACCGCTAGCCAATCAAAACCATCGCACTTTTGAACCGCCTAAGGGCCTAATGGCGTCAGGATCCCTGTAGCACTTAATCGCACTTACAAGCAGTCGCACTTCTGAATCTGTAGCACTCGTGTAGCATTTGCACTAATGAACTGTCGCATATTTGATATACACCCAACAAAATTTCAATGCGCCATATTTTGTCTAAAATGCGTTATAAATATATACAAAAGTCCAGATGTTTTCAGCTGATATATCTGAACTAGGATGTTTATTATTTCGAAATCGAAATGATTATCATTTCGTACATTAAAAGTTTCTGCATTTATAAAAAAAAGCTGACTATAACTAACGCAAGTTATATTTCAATTTGATAATCTAAGTCAATAAAAAATTAATCAAAATGCATTCTACGCTTGAACAGCAGACGTCTTTAGATGACCTTGGACTTGTGCTTGGATTTTTTGCATGTTGTTGATATTGTTAAAGTGTGACATTTCGCAATTTCCGCGCAGCGTATTCCAGGGTATTTCGTTGGGATTGCTATTCATGTTTATAACATTTTGCGATTTTAAGGCGTGGTAACAGCCCGAGCCGTTCAGAAGTTATTGGCCTGCGCCTAACTTGAACTAGGGGCTAGGGTAGGTATATTGCTGGGTATATTGTTCCATAACGCGACGTTGTCCGTTGACGCAAGGCCCTATATACCCGTTGACGTGAATGGCGGCGGGAGGGCGGGGGCCGTCTTACGTCGGACCCGATTTTCAAATTGAAAAGCGTTCAATAACCCCGGATAACTGTCTTCAGAAATTTTTGATAAAAGGTGCCTCGCCCGTATAGGAGGGGGGGGGGTCGAACGGACCCCCTCGGTTTTTCGCGAATAACTCGCGTAAAAAGCGGTCGATCGCGACGAAACTTTCAGTACCCTCGTGTTAATCAATTTTACACCTACCCTGAAATTTTCATGACCCTGACCCTAATGACCTTTGACCTGTGACCTACTTTTCGAGACCATGTTTGGCCGGAATCACGATTCGGCGTATGTCGGCTCGCATTAGCCGCGCGTTAAGCGTTTGCAGTCTTTTCGTGGTTTTAAGCGTTCAAACATGGGATATGATGTTGCTCCCATGCATTAGGGTGGGTGTCAAGGTCACCGGAAGGTCAGGTCAGGTCATTGACCTTTGATGACCTCGGTTCACTTTTTCGAGTTTTACATGTTTCTAGGCCAGTTTTTCGAGCTGAATTCGAATTTAGCAATCATATGAACATTTACGAAGTAGCTTTGATACCTTCGTAACATGTTACGAAGCTGTCAGAGGCGGTTGCCACCTACTACGAATACCCTTACTGATTGACCTGACCTGACCTGACCCGACCTGGCCTAAATGCATGAAGACATCATCTGTGATCAAAACTAACATGATATTCGTGATCAGCACCCCGAAAACCCCCATAGCAGCCACGCTTTACGACTTTCTAACAGGTCCCGATTTTCCATACTTTTGGGTCATTGACCTGACCTGGAAGGTCAACCGATGACCTAGGACCTTAAAATTGGGTATCATCGGCTTCCTCTCGTCACGGGTAACATGCTCGTTTTTCCGCGAAGCTCTAGCTCGATCAGGGGCGAAACGGCAAGGGGGGGTCCAAGTCAACGGACCCCCCCCCCCCCTTATACGTTCGCGGCTGGAAAAACACCAATACGGGCGAGGGTTAAACTTTAAACTTATCCAGACCAGCCAAAGGTACTGAAAGTTTCGTGTCGGACTCGATGTTCGATACAGAAAGCGTTTTGGAATATCGCAGGAAAACGAGACCCCCCCCCCCCCCCCACAGTCAATGAGTCATCCGTGGGTTAATAATTGATAAGCTCTTATAGCGTAGAGCGCTCAACATCTTCAGCTTCAGCGCAGCTTCTGACTTCTGAGTATGTTTTCTAAGTACCTATGCGGACAGCGGTTCAGTCCTATCAGCCCTCCATGGTTGGTTTATTAGAAGGATTTAGTCGGCATTTAATTATGCACCTCAGTTTAAATTCCGTAAAAAAATGTCGACACATGCACAGAAGTGACTTCAAGCTCTTATTTCATTTCAGCAACATGAATATCTTTTTCTTATCTCGTGTTCGTGAGACTGAATAGAAGTGACTTCTTGCTCATTTTTAACTTGATGCCTGCGAATGGAGTATGACGACCTTGACGAGCCGGCGGATGAGTTTGTATCTAAAACGTTCCATGTGGGATGCTTCAACGGACATGAAAGGACTGGTTATGCCCGAGGTTCTCCCATACACACTGCGCCTACTGTCAGCACCGGCTCGTTCTTCCAACCGAGATTAACCACGTTTGCGACGAGTTTTAACATAAGTGGTGACCGGTGTAGAGAACAAAGCGTGGGAAAGCCACAACCACAGCAGCCTTCACCTGAGAGCATATCCTTACTGTATGGATTGCCTGTCACGGTACCAATAAAATTGGAAGATGGCCATGCTCATGAAACTCTAGAAGATGATCTTGATGATCTGGTCGAGCCGTATACCGAGAGGCGCCATGGTTTTCAGGTGCGAGATGACCTCGACGAGCCGGTGGCTCAGTCATCTTGGCAAAGGACTCGGCTCCAAATGGTGGATGATCTTGATGAACCTGATGAATGCGCACAGGCGTTTGCAACGGAATGTCGCGACGATCTCCACGAGCCTGCAGATCTGCCGCTCCCTGCGCCTGTGGCATCTGTGCATGACTTGCGAGATGATCTGGATGAACCAGCTCCTCGCCCTCTACCGGAAACAGTGGAGCACAATAATGCCCTTTTTGATGACCTGGAGGAGCCCGCTGCATCACCATGCCGTGCTCGACAAGATAAGAGAAGCTCTCGCGTAGAGCTACGCGATGACTTAGCGGATCCCGATGTCGATGATCATGCGTCACCTCAGAGGAGCACCGGTAGCAAACTCGACCATCTTTATGATGACCTGGATGAGGTGCTGGTCGATGAACTCATATCAGAAGTTAGCGACCTCATGCTGCAAAGTCATGGTTTTGTACACGAAGGCGCAGAAACGTCATGCCGTTTTAGTCGAGAGTCTACAGCTTCTTTCACTGATGACATCAGCCGTCACTCCTTAGTTCGTCAAGGTACCCAATCTTCACTCCATGCAGCGCAAGGCAGTAAAACGCCCTCTACCTCCCAAGGAGATGTCGCCAAGCGCTTGTGTTTCGAAGAAAGCGAACACCGAATGAAAGGGACACATGACGCTGAAACGCAGAACACCGCAAAGAGGCATCGACGGGAATGCCAACAAACTGCAGGTCGTCAAGAAACAGGAAAACGCTCTGTTGAAACTGTGCAAGGCAACGTCACACGGACTTCGTCTCCTACTATCGCCAGTCAATCATCTATGCCAGCAGTATCAGATGCCGAAGGCCTACGTCATGCTGATGCTGCGCCAAAGACTGCCGCAGTATCCATCAGAGGAGTTGAAGAGCATGCTGGTCTCCCGATAGCCAATGTTTCAGGCAACGAGTCGGAAGTGAACACTCCAACCGCAAACCCTCGCTGTATCGATGAACCAACTGCCAGATCGATCTCATGCGAAGCGAACGTTGGCACTGAAGCCGTGAGTCAGGACGCTCCAGCATCTGGCAAACATGATACATCGTATCCCAAAGATACGTCACGACCTACATCTCAGCAGTCATCACTTCTGTTGGACATTTCCCAGTCTCCAGTCAGGTGGACGTCTCTCCCGCTGCAACAGTCCGAGGTTAGCGTTCCGCCCCCGCTGCCTACATCTCCGCCATTGCTGCGGCCCGGAACTACCGACCCTTTGTCTTCTGCACCACCTATGCAAGTTGATGCTGCTGCACCAGTACAACCCCTGGAAACCAGTTCTCAAACATCAGCTGGAATACCAATGAGCTGTAGTCAGCACAAGTTCACCGGTTCAGTAACTTCCACGCCGCCTACCGAGGACAACACTCCAGCACACGTCTCAAAAGGCGCTTCTGAAAACCTACCTGCGCCCTCTGCGGCCAGCACATCAGCCGCCAAACCACCGAGCAAGTCCCGGGCTGCCCGTCCTGGTGCTGGGAGCCGTGACCCGCGCCGACCTGTCCAGACGGAGACGGTTCTGGCGCGGATTGACGCTCTGCTCGCCGCAGTTGCCACCTGTCGGGAACGCGGCGAAACTCCCGAGCTGCTGCTGCCAGCCAAGACCAGATGGCGGGACCTTCAACTCTGCACCGAGTGAGTACTTTGCGTAACTTCTGAGAGACGCTTTGGTGCCTTTGTGACTTTGCCATACCGTCGGTGTCTATAATCTATATGTAAGATGCGTCGGGTACACAGTGTACGTCGGGTACACTGTGTACCCGACGTCCGCCGAATCGGTTTACGTCTTACCTTTTATCTGATCTTTTGTCTTTTCGAATGATCTATACTCATTACTCACACGATTTATTATCCGTAATTCCATCACACCGTCTACCCAAACACTTCCCTGAGCTACCCCGTGCCCTCTGACCGACAGTGCCGGTCATCTCGTGGTGACCGATGAGACGCCCCGCGCCGAGGTGCGGGTCCGCAGCGAGAGCCGGCTCAACATGATGGTGCTCCTGCTGCAGAAGATCAGACACCTCGTCTCCACCAACACTCACTCAACCAAGAGGTCGGTACGAGTGTAATGGATGCGCTGATTTTCCGCTAAAAGAACGTGCGTAACGCCAGACGATAGGGAAATGTCTTAGTATATTTCAAACTGACTGTTCCAAATGCTATTTCCCATTACGCGATGTAAACACGTTTTCTTTACTCTACAATGGGCACCATTAAAGAGACCCAACCAGTGTGTTTTGCTCCTAAAAACGATAGTTGTCTCAATCATTAGCACCTCGTTTCATCGTGTGTTTCAAGATTCTCGTTTATATATCATACAAAGCGGCTGAGCACTGGTTATGACCCAATAATTAATCGCCGTTCCTCATTCGACAGGGACATCTACTACCAAGAAGTATCGCTGTTCGGCAGCCAACGTGCCGTGGACGCCCTGCTGGATGACGTCACTGACCTGTTGGCCATTCCGCGCGAGAGCTCGCACGTGCGCGCCACCTCCAAGGGCCTGGTGGCCGGCCAGCTGGTGCTGCGCTGCGGAGATGTGCTCATGGACTGCTCGGCGGCCAAACACGGTGGGTTTGCTCGGGAAAGGCGTGTTTAGAGGCGCGAGCTGGGCCATGTGTTGGATGTAGGTTTGCGCGGGAGATGAGTGTTAGATGCGCGAGCTTGACCATACATTGGATATCGATAATTGGTTTGGTGTAATACCCATGGGACTTCTCTCCAGGGCTGCTGGTGCCGGAGAACGTGCCGCACGTGCAGCTGGTGAGCTCCTCGGCACGCTTCATCCTGGTAGTGGAGAAGGACGCCACGTTCCAGAAGATCCTGGACAGCGGTGTGCTGGACCATCTGCCGCCCGGGATCGTCATCACGGTCAGTTACGCCGGACAGTTTCAAAGCTTTCAAAGTTGAAATGCAGTTATCAATTTTATAAGTGTAAATTATCGGTGCGGCCTTCTGTCGCTACCCAAAGTTGATTGTGTACCATCTCTATTCATCACGGCGTCACCGTTCGGCAGGGTAAGGGTTTCCCGGACCTCAACACACGCCTGCTGCTGCGCATGCTGACCTCCCGGCTGGCCGTGCCGGCCATGGCGCTTCTTGACGCCGACCCTCACGGCCTCGAGATCTTCTTCGTCTACAAGTACGGCTCCCTGGTAAGGCTCGTTTGCTGGTAATATGACATACGCTTTGCTGGAATGCATACTTAGGCTTTTATTTCCCTTAAGCCTGAAACAGACTCTTTCCGCAGTCAGGAAATCGCATGCGAGAGCTTATTCAAATACATGGAAGCACGCTCGCACCAATCGCACGCACCTTCCGCAAGCGATTGATGCGAGAAGAATTGCAATGTATTTGAATAGGCTCTCGCATGTGATTTCCTGAACGCGTAAAGAGTCTGTTTCAGCCTTTAGCCGTGCTCGATATTTTTGTCGTACGGATAATTCGGTCGTTTGAAAGCAAGTGCTGAACAATGATTGAGGTTCGTACTTCGTGATACGCATTATTGATCGTTTACTTGGTGCTGCAGCAATTCGTGACATCTCTATTTATTATGCTGTTTCCCAAAAAGTTCTTACACACCCGTTGCTGAGTACCTACTTTCTTTAGCTTCGTCCCACTCAAACACTGAGCTTTATCCATGTGTGGGCAGGCTCGTGCCCGGGAGTCGGACCGACTCACCACACCGGGCCTGATCTGGCTCGGAGTCCGGCCCACGGAGGTACTGCACCTGGATATACCCCGTTCAGGTGAGGCAAAGAGCGCCAGGGGGCGAAGAGCGCCTGCAGTGGGCGGTGAGCCGGACAGGAGGTGTGTTTGAGGGGTGCGACTACGGGAAGCGGTTGAAGTTCTGTGGAGAAAGAGAGGCCAAGTGGGTGCCGCCTCACATTCCCCTCCGTCACTTTCACGCTCGTTCTAGGCGTTGTCTGTTGTGTTGTATTCTTAGAACTGACGTTCACATTGTGTCCTTGTAGATTCCGTACCCTTGCAAAAGGTTTAATAAACCCCAAGCGTCTAATTCAAGCTATACTAAGGCTCCACTTCGACGCAGGAGGGGAGGGGGGGGGGATTTCTCTAATGCATGGTAACCGATAACTCGCTCTTGACGTTCGCTCGGTGCCGCTGTGCGTGCGTGATTTACGAGGTGTTCACGTTCACAGTGTGGTGTCACGGCGGTTCTTTAGTCATGCATTAGGTGACTGGGAACAGGTTATTACATCAGATGCTCAGCGATACTGGTGGCGGGTTTTTTATCACAGCGGCCCGATCGAGCCCGCACTGAGTTATGTCTGAGATATTGAATAGTTTGCCTACCTAATCACGCATCACGAAAGATCAAAATATCTTGTTGCTATTTGGCTTGATTTGAATTGCCATATATTGTAGCCTGATCTCAGATGTTTCGTCGGCATCTTTTTGCTGGCAAAGTTGTAGAAGTTCACCCAAAATAATGTTTTTTCATCAATTATCCGATATTGGATTTGGATGCCTATTGAAAATCATGTGATAGTATCGGCGAAATACCTATAAAGTCCAGCCTATCTATTGCACCGATCGAACCCCGGCCCCGCATCGGCTTGATCTCCGACAGAGAGAATGCTCGCAATTTCTACGACGCCGTAGTAAAAAGTGGCCTGGATCATGTCGGTCATACCTGGGCGTACGACTGCGTCGCAGTGGGTGCCCTCTTTTGTAGCCGGCTGGACTGAGTGTTCGATCGGATTGGCTAAGTATGGGTCATTTACATATAGTTAGGTTAGGGTGGACTCATTTTATATCATAATTGTGAGTCAGAGACAGAGTTATTGCGGAACTAAAAATGGTTGGATATTTTTACAAATGCGGACAGGTTTGATGGAGCTGTTGATAATCATGTGTTATTAATCTGAGTACCTAGTAGATGAGATCACGTGGGTATTTTTGCTTATGCATTATGCATTCATTTACTTCAGATATTCCGTAGGTACGACGTGCAATATCCCGTATTGACGTGCAATATGAAACGTCTAAATTCCCTTTCTTTTATTTCCTGGGGAGAAGCGACATCCAGCAAAAGCGTTCTCTCTTGAAAGACCACTTCGTGACAAGGCTTCTGTTTACAGATGCTTTTGGTGCTTTACATAGTTCATACCGCCATTGCTCCCTTCTATTGTGCTCTCTTGTGTCTCCTATGTGACCGTTCCGTCCCTTTCCCCAGCTCTCCTGCCTCTAACCGCCGCCGACCGCAGCAAGGCCCGGTGCCTCCTCTCTCGGCCGTACGTGAAACACAACCGCTTCTGGCAGCGACAGGTCAGTCCGCACTCCGCGCTCGGCGCCGGGCTATTGGCTTGAGCGAGTCAGAGGTGGCCAACTCGCCAGGTTTTGGGTGACACGAATAGGTCGCTGGCTTGATAGTTTGCAGTGGCACGAAGAGGCCGATGACCCGTTGGGCCATACGACCCTCAAAGGTCACTGCTGTGGAACGGGCTGGCATACAAGGTCGCTGATGTTCTGGAACGGAATGGAACGCAATTGCTCATTTTGTCCCTATTGATAAGATGGCACTACATAACTCATATATCTCCCATTTCCACGGCAAATCACATTTGTATTGCTCGATTCAAGAGCTGGGCTGCAGTTTTTTTTGGGGGGAGGGGGTACCGTAAACGAGGGTGACTTTGCCATGTTTTCAACTTTAGACGCCTGTATTCTTTAAGCTTGTTAACTTATTGGGATGACTCTATGTTCAAAACACGGATGAAGATTAGCTCTTTGGGTTTTGCTACTATCGTATTTATATCTTGCCTAAAAATATAAATTTTTAAGCAAAATGAGTCGTGGCAAAGTTTAACTGAAAAAGGGGTGACTTTGCCACTATGCTAAATAATTTTTTTTAACGCTAGCAAATACTTTTCAAGCATTTTTGTTTCATTGTATGGGGAAAGGCAACCATCTTTAATTGTTTAATAGGAAAAAATAAAGCAATTCGATATTTTTTTGCTCTGAGACGATGTACAAAAAAGGAGGGATACCTTACTTTTTGTAATACATTATATTTGTTGAAAATAACTGAGATTTGATCGTAAATAGAAACTGAAAATGGTTCAGAATAGATAAAGCAAAGATATTATTGTACCGGTAGTCTAGGACCTTGCCGCGTTTTTCCAGCGGCATTAAGAGGAACAGAAAGAGGACGTTCTTGCGGGAACTTACCGACATCCTTCTTATCAGCGTTTTGATCTATAAAATTATACAGATTTCTTCAGCCAGTCTCATTGGCAAACTCAGGAGTTGTAGATGATCATGGCCGTGCTAAAAAAAAAAAAAAAATGGGCCCAGCTTCATCCATTTTTTTTTATTTTGGTAACCTTTGCCTTTTTATACTCCCACTGTGCATTACTGTGTTAAATTTTAACATATAAACTTTTACATTTAAAAAACCAGTTTGGAGGTCAAAATGATGCTACATTTAAAACTTCTTTTGAATTGCATCGGATAAGTATTTCATTTTTGCATTGATAACATGGTGGCAAGGTCACCCCATGTGGCCTGCAATTCACTTGGAAGAATCGCCACCAAAAATTTTAGCTAAATGAAATGACAAATGCCAGTTTTGTTGGATATGCTAACTTAACAGCCTTGTCATGATCAACCATACCAAGTTTCAGCATCACAGTTGGTCTAGAACATGGTTAGATAAAAAAAAGTCCGGACCTCTTCAAATTTGACCATTTCAATGACTCCAATAAAATGGAACCCAGTTCCGTATTTAGTGGCTACTTATCTCTCAGTGTTGGTTATGTTGGAAGGCCCATCAATTATCTTTCGTTTGTGCATACAAACTTATTACATTATTCGTAAAATATCACTGGAGATCACCCTCAAACATTTGTTGAGAAGCATGGCAAAGTCACCCCCGTTTACGGTATTTCTTTTTTTTTCGTCCCTTTGCTTGAAAATAAAATAAGAATAAAGCGTATGCTAGTTACATCTACCCATACGCGCGACTGACTTAGTCAGAAGCCGTCAGTCAATCAAATGCAGTCACCCGTCATATCTATCTAGTGTAATCGGTATAACTTTATTCAGTCGGTTTTAAATTACACACCCGAGAGCAGCGGATTATCGGCGGCCCTTGGGCATCGTCTCGCTCCCCAGATCCGCGAGATCCTGGCGTCGGGTCGGAAGGCAGAGATCCAATGTCTGAGCGCGATCCACCCCACCTTCCTGACGGATCTCTACCTGCCGAGCAAGATCCAGGAGTGCCTGGCGGGTGGTCTGGGAGTCTCGAACGGACAGGATGTCGTTCCCCGGGATCGTACTGAGCCGTGTGAGTCAGTTCAGGCTCTGGCCGCTGTCGAGTAACCAGAGAGGTTTGTCGAAGGCCACCGTCACAGGCTCAGACGCACGCTGTGTAACGTTGTTCACGAGGAAGGTTGGATTCTGCAAAGCCAAAGAAGACCAGGGAAGACGCAGGAGTGTGAATTCGAGTTGGTTGAGCACTGAGCATGGCTTTCGTTGGACGTCGATTGTTAGGTGTGAGCTGCTGTCTTTCTACCGAATTACCGATCAGATGAACATGTTTGATAACTGTGTCGATCTGTCATATACTGTCAACGAATTGTGTTCAGAGAAGTCGCGCTCATTGGAAAGGTAAACTGAAGTTTGTGAGGGATCTATGCTTGTTAAGAATCACCGGCATATAACATATTTGTGCCGGCGTTTTAATTTAATTCGCTTCCTCTTGTAATCATAGCTGTTGCCAGTAATCCATGATCATGTTTCATCGTCAACTTCAGTTTATTCTGATCTCTATCATTTTATATTCTCAGAGGTTCGTGCAACATCATATATCGGTGCAATGTTTCTGGACGCTGTCGGTGCATTATTTGTACCGATTAGTGATGTTTCCGTTGCCGTTTCATTTGGTCTCTCACTCCATAGTTCATAGTTGCCTGTATCTCTAAACATGTTCGTCTTTCAAAAGTCATCAGGAGCTATAAATGTCTTTCTGTAAAGTCGAATGAGGTTTTCGAGTCCTAGATATGTATTTTTATTTATTCACATGTCCCGTTATTTATTCGAATGCCCGGCTCACCGCAGGGCATTCGCTGTCGAGTGGCAGACGGCCGCTGAGAAGTACGACCGGTCTCGCGCTCACGCAACTGAGTACGTACGTGATCATTACAATAGTACTGCCAAGGCTCTCCCCGCCGTGCGCATCGGCACAACCGTCGATGTGCAGGACTCGCGTACGGGCCAGTGGGACAGGACGGGCATCGTGGTCGGCGTGGGTGATCATCGTGATTATCTCGTAAAGTTGCCCAGTGGTCGTGTATTGTGGCGTAACCGGCGATTTTTGCGCCCCCATCGTCCGCTGCTACCTTGTTCGTTTCGCCCATGTAGCGTTCCGTCGCCGCCTGCACGTGATAGTTCGCCCGCGGAACGTGACGACTCTCGGCTCGTCCGATTCCGCCTCGATGGTGTTGATGCGCCCTCTGTGGCGCCGTGTGCTCCCACTGTCACCTGTGAGCCTGCTCCATTGCGTCGCAGTGAACGTGCGCGCCGTGCTCCAAGTCGCTTGGTTATTAATCCGCGGTTGAAGTCCTATGATTAAGGCACTGTGCCCACGTTGCGGCACTCGCTGTAGTTTTGTTACGTTGGTACGTTTGTGTCCATGTGTATGTGGCGCAGAAACATTTTCTTTTTCTTAAACTTAAACTGTTGTACCAGTGCAGTGTCACAACAATTTGGGGGAGGTGTACCGGCCCGTACCTGTGACCGACTGTGGTGGGCTGACCGGGATCGCCTGCGGCGCCTGGGGGCGCCGGCCGGGCGGACGGAGGGTCAGTGTGTGCTGTGGACTGGTGGAGTGCGGTGCGCCAATACACAACACAAATCATGTCATCATTCAATCCCATTTTGTTCCTCATTCAGTCAGACATTGCCTTTACGTTGTTGCTGTTATTCACGACCGTCGTTGTTAGGTATATATGACCGTTCTTGTTGTTGCGTATGATTATGGTATTTGAATACATACAGGCCAGAACTCTCTAATTCGCTTGCTGTTTTTTTTTTTTTGTATTCGATCATCACTGTTTGATTGTATCCTGCTCATGCATAAGCATCCCCTCTATCAAAATGATCCCTCCAAAAGATGATCTTTTACCACGCAATATCATGAGTTTTTTGTGTTATTATTTTGAGTGGTGACGTTGGTGGGTGCTGCTAATCGCTTGTTGACAAACGCTCGCATTGGGTAGGCTCTGCATATTGACAGACTTTTTGTTGGTGGCATCAGGGATGTGAACTAGAATCGGTTGTGTTCTATGGACCAGGCGCAACTAATGATCATAAATGTGGTCAGCTGACCTGACATTATTGCTTACGCATGGCTGCTCTGGAATTCCGTTTAGGTTTGCGGGGCACGCGATTATGCCTAATAATCTGATCAAATTATCAGTGTTTTGTGTCAAACCGACCGAGCCGGTCTAGTAAATATTGCATAGATTTTTGCAATTCGACTCGCTTTTCCTTTCAACACCGGCGGAAATGCCACTTTCTATCGGGCACCTCTCCTGACGGTGATAAAAAGTCGCCTCTTACGGTAATGCCCACCACTTTTTCTGCGGGGTGTCTGCTGCGGTGCAACGGCGGTGGCCGCAGAGGGGGCGAGTTTTTCGGCCGCCCGGGCCGAGCCCGGCCGAGGTTATAAGTACTATGTGCTGGCGAACGGGTTTCCAGTGGCAGTGAGCGCGAGTGGTGTCGGGGTGAGCCAGGAACCCATCATGGATCGAGCCGGCCCGGTGAGTTTTGAGAGACTTCTACCATGTTGTATGGTGCGTGTTTATGTGTCTGTGATGTGGTCTCATGGATAAGGGGCGTTAAGATCGAAAGTTTGTTTGGATACCCATTCATGTTGTCGCTCGGATGTAGTGATACGGGGACGTTGCGAAGCACTTAGATCAGGCCAGTTTCAGCATAAGCTATTAGATCAATAATGACAGAGAACCATACAAAACGCCTTTAATTAGTTAAAGAAAAGGCTTGCCAACATGTACGTACCGATGTCGATGAACAACAATTGACTTCATCTGCCAAATTTTAATGAGCAAACGGCGAACAATTCGCGAGCTCGCATGAACTGTTCGCGAACATGCCCATGGTAAAAAGGGGGAGGGCGGATAAGAGTGATATTACTATCGCACAAGCCGTTTCGCCACTAATTGAACCCTCGCGGAAAAGACGAGTGTGTGCGCCGTGACCTAACACAGTGGACAGTATCTGATTTTAAGGTCACATGACAACCGGTGACCTCATGAATGAGGTCAGGTCACGTGTCCCAAGGTAGGGGTTTTGTTTTTGGTGAATTACTTCGCCACAATTGGTGGCAGACCCGCGATTTTGGCACCATCGTGCTCGTCATTGCATAGTCTAGCGCGTCAAAGGACACTTTTTGTTTGGATTTATTCCACTCAGGGTGTTGAGCTCAGGTTAAGGTCAGGTCAAAGCTACTCGGGTCACAAAATTGATCGGATGAAATCATCTTGCACATCATTCGATTCGGCAGGTCTTCCGGAGTCCATTGATAGCTTTTCGGACTCGCTAGCTCAATTTGTCCCAAACATGAATATATTTAATTTTGACCCTTGATCTGACCTTGACCTGTCGCTTGAGCTTGACCTCAAAATTCAAATTTCAGACAGGTTTTAGAAGCGTTCCACCGAGTTTTCGAACGGTTTCGGAGATAATACGGGGGGAGCATTAAATGATCTACCCCCAGTCAGTGGTGTTCGACTGAAGGTTTGGTCAAACCCGGACTAACCCTCGCACTTATAGGGGAGGGGAGAGACCAACGGACACCACCCTCTCGTTTTTTCGGGAATAACAGGCAAAGGCGGCTGATGGCGACGAAACTGTCAGTACCTTTAAACTGATGAATTTTACACCTATCCTGAAAATTTCATGACCCTGACCCAAAAGAACTTTGACTATTCCGAGACCATGTCAGGCCGGAATCATGATTCGGCGTATGTATGTCAGCACACATTTTACGCGCGTCGTCTCCAGTCTTCTTGTGGTTGTAAACATTCCAACGTGTGAAATGTTTGTCCCATGCATTATGTTGGGTGTCAATGTCACGTCGAAGTCATTGACCTAGATGACATAGGATCAATTTTTCTAGTTTTAGGTACACGTTTCTTGGGTAGTTTTTTGGAGCTGTTCTCGATTTTAGCACCCATTTGAAAATTTAGGAAGTAGTTTTGGTGCCTACGTAACATGTTACGAATCTGTCAGTAGTGGTTGACATCATAGATACTTACCTATTTCATCTTTAATCAAAACTAGCATTGAATTTGTTATCAGGACCCAGAGACACCCCACAACACGCTCGCTCTACGATATTCTGGCAGTTTCCGATCTTCCCGACTTTTGGGTCATTGACGTGACCTGGAAAGTCAACCCTATTTTTCCTAACAGTCACCTTAGGTCAGGTCGGTCACGTGATATCACCATTACCTATAAGTAAATGGGGAAAGAAGGAAGCTGTTATTTTGGCGCCGGGGGGGGGGGGAATGATCTAAAATTATCTCAAGTGCACGGAATCGTGATTTAATCCTCACCTTAACCCTCGCCCGCACATGCCATTTTCCCATCCTAGAACGCACATGGGGGGGGGGGTGGTTGCCACCCCCCCCCGCGCCATTTCGTTCCTGTTGGAGATAGAGCTTAGCAGTAAAGACCAAAAAGATTCTTTGGGAAGAGACGAATCCAATGATACCCAGTTTTACCTTCTCAGGTCAGTCATTGACCTTCCAGGTCAGGTCAAACTAAAAAATGTTGCTGTTTTGGGTCACCGTTGGATATCAAGTGTGCTGCTTATCAAATACCGATGACGATGCTGTTTTCTGGTGCCAAGCCAGCTAGAACCTCTTTGTCACACTACCCGACCAGAATTTTGCTGCTGAGGTCATTTCAGGTCAAGTTAGGTCAAGGTCAATTATATGTGTTTGTATGTCTGTGTGTGTCTGTGTGTATACTGATGTGTGCACCGATTGTTTTTGGGTCCATATTACATGAAATCATGATCCGATAAGCTTTTACCAAAAATGCAGTCAAAAAACTTCAAAAAAAGTAAATTCAGCTTGCCTAAAACGCAATTATCTTAGATGACCTAGGTTGACCTTGACCCTGACCTTGACCCCTGTACATCGTCAGACAACATGTTCCATGATAGGTAGGAGGTAAGACTGGCAAAAAAGGCCGAAATCAGGGTGTCAAAAGCTCATAAGGCCCATAGCAAACGCAAGATGTTGAGAATTGGCCATTTGGGTCATGACATGACCTGAAAAACAAGGTCATATCTCCGAAACCAAAAATCACAGAAACTTGAAATTTTCAGTGGACATCAAGAAAGGATAGAGGAGCAGCTATACGAAAAATCAGCTTTCTAGCTCCAAAAATGTTGAGTGCAGAGCAGAAAGACTACCTGGGGGGGGGGGGGGGTGGCAACCACCCCCCCATGTGCGGGCGAGGGTTAAAAGGTGGGATGTTTCACTTTTGCAATTTTGACTTCTCGTGACGTCATTTATGATGTCACTAAGGTAATAATAGTTTTTCGTCAAAAACTCCCGACCAAATTGAGCTAGTGGGTCGCGAAAGCAACTAACAGACTTGGAAAAACTAGCCGAATCGAATGCTCTGCGATAGGACCTCCTTCAACCAGCCTCGTGACCTGAGGCGTTTTGACCTCACCTTGACCCGAGATCAATACCTTAGGTTGACCTCACCCGAGCAAAACGTATAGGTACTTACCATTCGACGCACCTGTGCGCCTGTGGTGTCAAAATCACGGCTCTGTGACTATTTTTGGCCGAAGTTATTTACCGAAACGGAAGCTGTACTATGGGGCACTTGACCTGACCTTCGAGATCTGGGATTTTAAAATCGGCTACCAATCGCTGTGTCTCGTAACGGCGCACATGCTCCTTTTTTCGCAAGGTCCTAACTCAATTAGGGGCGAAACGGCGAGGGGGTCATCCCCCCTCGGCCCTCGGCCAGGGCATACTCGTAGGATGTAGAAGATAAATAGGTCCGGCGAGGTTTAAATTAACAGCATCGGGTTATTTTGGTTATTTCAAAAGCGAATTTAAACTTAACCGAACATGACTATTGGTTACTGTACATAGTTACTCAGGTACCTAAATGTGTTTTGTTTGTTTTTTTTTTTTGGGGGGGGAGGAAATACACGCCTATTTTGATAAATTGTTATCCAATCAGAAAGCTTACTGACTTGATAACTAATCAATTAGCGTTACTTACTTACCTACATATGATAAATTCGAAACTGTGCCTTGAAACTTTTAGTTTCTTTTCATACGCGCGATACAACACGGATTGAGCAAGTAGGTATGCGTACCATTACCTAATCTATGCATGTGCATGTAATTGCTTATCCTCATTTGATACTCGCCGTCATCTCGCTGTCGTAGATAACATGAACTACCGATAGTGAACACACTGATAGTTCAAGTTATCTATGTCGCTATCATCACTGCATAGGTAACATGTCTACATGCTGGTATGACGCAGGGTAGGTATAGGTATGACGTACCGTTGCACAAACCAGTTGCAACACTGACAACAGTGCGTCGTGGGTCACCAATAGTAGGTGCCCTTTTTATCGATTGTATTTCGTCAATCGTCAGGAACCTTATCTTTAGTTTGTTTCGTATGTGTAACTGGCATTCCAATGCATGTATGCATTAGTGGTAGGTATCAGGAACCAATGAGTTAAGTGAATTTGGTTTTTGGAAGTTTTCGCCTTTCGCGATAGTCATCTTTGGATATTCAATAACCAGTATAACGCCTTTTGTGGCGACTAACGGAGCGAGCGAGAGGGTGAGCCTTGCACGTGCGAAATTTCGAGGGGGTACCTCCAGCTGACTTGTGCACGGCACCCTACTAGCCGGTCTTTAGCGATGTGCCAAATTTGAGCACAATCGGCCCAGCCGTTCTCGAGATCTGGAAGCGGCACCCTGCACGTGCGCACGTGCAAAATGGGTCCCAACTGACTTTTGCACGGCACCCTACTAACCGGTCCCTAACCATGTACGAAATTTGAGCGCCATCGGTCCAGCCGTTCTCGAGATCTGGAATCGACCCCTGCACGTGCGCACGTGCAGCAGCACCCCAACTCTGGCACATGGATATGTATTGCCTAGTGGGTGCCTACCTACATGCCAACTTTCAGCGCAATCGGCCAAGTAGTTACCGAGATATTGCAACAATTGCAAAAGTGACACCTCTTCGTTTTGCACGTGGCACGTGCATAAGGGGTCACCCACATGCATCGGGAATAGTCCAATACTTGGTAGAAGGAATGAAGCTACCCTACAAAAATTACCGCGTGTAAATCGGTCAAGTGGTTGCTGAGATATAAGCCTCGCAAAAGCGTGACCACGGCCGGCCGGCCGGCCGCTCATATTCAGAAATTTCCGTTAATCTAAGGAAAGACTACGCTCGCTTCGCTCGCTCCGTAATCAATATCGCATGGTAACATTGTTTTCATATTCGCAAGCTTCTCGCTGCTTCTTGATGATATGCATTCCCGTTGAAGTGAAGAGTCCTATTCCATTTGTGTAGATCCATACTCGAATTACACACAGCCCCATTTATCGTTGTTTGTCAACTATGTTCCTCGCATCATCTAGCTAAGGTGCATTCCCCTACATTACCTTTTACACCACCGCGCCGGTCTCACACTGTTCCTGTCTCACTGCGTGTCCTTGTCCCCCAGGCGATCACGGGCTGTCTCCTGCTGGTCGTCATCTCCGCCGCCGCGGCCACCTCCAGCGGCTGGGGCCGAAGCAAGGGCAAGGACTACCACCACTACCACCATATCGTCCCCTACAGCGGTGGCTACGGACATGGCTACGGCGGCTACGGCCATGGCTACGGAGGCTACGGAGGGTACGGCGGCTACGGCGGCTACGGGCATGGCTACAGTTATTACGACAAAGGGAAGAGTTCTGGCAAGAGGTACAACAGCAAGAGCAAGGTGAAGCACCACTACCACTATGTCTGGCCGGGAGGCTACGGTCCGTTCCTGTACGGCGGCGGCCATGGCAAAGGCGGAGGATATGGCCATGGCGGAGGGTATGGCCATGGCGGAGGAGGGTATGGGTATGGCGGAGGAGGATATGGGTATGGCGGAGGAGGGTATGGGTATGGCGGAGGCGGAGGACACTCTGGAGGATATGGAGGAGGCGGTGGATACGGCGGACATGGCGGCAGCGGCGACTACGTTCTCGTCGTGCCACTCGGCAAGGGTCTCGGCCTAGGCGGGCACGGCGACGGCCACAGTGTTCACCGCCGCTCGGCAGCGACATCGGGCGGTGTGAGGCTAGAAGCTGGAGTGTCTCACAAGGCCGACCGGTGGCGGGCAGTCAGCTCGGCTGTGCGACGGGAGGAACTGAGCGGCAGAAGAGAGGTCAGAGAGGCCAGCGGAGGTCACCGGCGCAGTCACAGGGTGTTAGAGGACCTGGGTACCAGGCAGTAGTGATTGCTTGGGCAAGAAGGGGGTGAGGATTTTATTGTATGCTCAGGATGAAACAATTGAATTAAAAGCTAGCAATGCTCTCCAAAAGCAAGCCATGTTTCGCCATGACGGAGTCTGTTGGCAATTGGCATACTCATTCAGTCGCCGGGTAGTTAAGGCTTTCGATGTTTTCCATGTTAACGATAGAAATAAGATTGATTAAGCTAAACCTCTTCAGTGTCGTAATATGTACATTTTATATACAACTATGAATCAATATATGATTCACAAATATTAACGTCGAACTGTGTACGATGGCGTACGACGATGTAAGTTGAATGTATGGACTGTAAGCACTAGTGGTGTAAGAAGAACGGCAAACGATAGCGGTACTCAGGCCTCAGATTCTCCCTCTAGGGCAGGTCCGCTTGTATATGATGTCAGTCACGTACGAGGAATGTGTAGCCGGTTGCGTGAAAAGAGAAGCACTTCACCTGTGTGAGAGGAGTCAAATGATTGTGTAAATGGTATTGTATGTACATGTGGATTTGGGCTATTTAGAATATCCCAAGTACAATAAACATTATCTGAAATGACCTCCCTGTGTGACTCCCCTCCCCCTCTCATCCGCCGTATAGAATAATGTAGAAATGTGTCAAACTTTCACTCTCTCCGCACCTCGCATGGCTGCCGGAAGTGCAGAGGACTGTAAAAAATAGGCTGAACTCGGTAATTTCGCAAAGCCTGACCTTTAGTGGTACATAATTAGACAAAGTCATTTCTATTAGGTTAACTAAGTTTGAGAGTTGAAGTTAAACTGAGACACTTTGCTTGCCAGAACAGACACCAGAAGCCAACTTTTCTTTTACTATACAGTGAAAATGAATAGCAGGGGTATGTTATTAAATTTCCCGTTGCTTGGCAAATCGATCGTCTTTCCCGTCGACATGTCCGATCCCGCATGATGTCAATGTGCACTCAAATATTCGGTGATGTGTTTGTGTTGTTGAATGTACAATGCAGGCCTATAGACATTCGAAGGCATTCTTCATGTTATAATCCAAACTCCTGTTTTACGCAAGTTTTTCCCCTCTGCCCGAATCACTACGCAACGGGGCTGGTGTTTTTTTTTTGGGGGGGGGGCGACTTGTTCACTTATATTGGTTTAGTGCAATTTATATTTTACAATTGAAAGTCGGTCCAAACACCAAATACTAAACATCGGATTGTATTCAAAAGTATTTCACAGCTGCAAAATACGGGTACTCCAATGCACATTTCTAAAAAAAACGTCTCACTCTAACCATATTGAGATACAATGAAGATAAATAGCGTACTATGAACACCAGCGTAACATAAAACATTACACATTGTAGGATGCGATTTCAGTCGGAACGTGATCGCCAATGAAATGAAAGTTCAATCTGCAATACGTAGTGACAGCTCATCGCAAGCAATTAGCGCCAAATGCTCGATTAAAGTCACCTGTACCTATGCGACGCTAAGGCGTTCCTTCCTTGCAGCCTACTAACAGCGCTCAAAACCAGCCAATAACGAATAACAAGGCCTCTTCCACTCCCATAAATAGTACATTTAGGTAGGTACTACATATCTACGATCTGAAATGCATTTGAACATGATGTGATCCAAATGTCAAAATGCATCACATATAGCCAACCGTAAAAGCCTCAAGTACCTAAAAAGAATGCATCAAAACTTTATCCTTTAGAGGCTACGAAAATATACAGACATGAGACAAGAATGGACGGAACTTGTATAAAACCGACTCAGTGCTTTCTTGACGTCAATCTTCAGACCATCCAAGCACGAACGTCGAAGTGTTTATGGCTCGGCAACATCATCTGAAAATGGCATCAATGTTATTGCAGTCAACACAAAATGCAAGTGCCGTGCAGGACCATAAAGTTATAAACGTCCTAATGTCAAACCACTCGAATGTTCGTCGTCAAAGAATTGTAGGAGGCGGCATTGTTGGCGAAAACAATTTTTTATTGCTAGAGCTTTAGTGACGACAGCTTTACTCAACCATCTCACACTCAATGCAAAGTAAATAGTCATGTACTATGACTTGTAAGTTGTACTCACATTTAGGGCCGGCCTCAACGTTGCCCTCGAACTCCACCGGCTGGGACACCTCGACTGGCGTCTCCACGCTGTCAGGGGCCTTCTCGGTCTCCACAGCCACCTTCTCGGTCTCCACAGCCACTTCAGTCGCAGGTTCAGCTTCCTGAGGCTTCTCAGTCTCCACAGGCTTCTCAGACTCTACTGGCTTCTCAGCCACAACCACCGGCTCTTCAGGTTCGGCAGCCTTCTTGGCCTCCACAGCCTCCTTCTCAGCGTCCACAGCTTCGACAACCTCCGGGACCGTCTGGAAGACCTCGGTGGTCGCCTGAGGCTCTTCCGGAGCTACCTCAGGGGTAACCTCGACACCGGGAGCCGGCTCCGAAGGGTACTCCTCGATGACAACGGGGATCTCCTCGGGTACAACGTCAAGGGTGCCCTCCGGGATGACCTCCGCGACAACGTCAGGGACGAGCTCTTCGACGACCTCAGTGACAACCTCAGGAGTGACCTCCTCGGCGACCTCGGCGACGGGCTCGGCCTCAGTGGTGACTTTTTCGATGGGAGCCTCGGTGGGCACCTCCTTCACGATGTTAGCGCAGCGGCGCAGGTCGATCTGGTTCTTCCGCTTCAGATCCTAACGAAATGAGACAAGACGTTAGGCCACGAGAAAACTTACAGATTCCATATACATTTGATGTGTAACCCATCCCGGATGACCTTTGCAATATTCTTCCTTCTGTACAAAGTATCGAAAAAGTAGCATTGCGACTAAGAACTTATTGATTTGACCGAATGCAACCATGATACACAGGTAACACCGTTATTCGTGCAGAAATCGGTACATAAAAGCAAAGCAGTTTCCGTGGTTGTCCACCAGTGACCCGGGTAAAGACCCAATAAGTGCCACTCACCAGCAGACCCTTTCCGTCGTGGAGCGACTCCAGGTCGAAGGTGGTCTGGAACGAAGAGAAGCTGGAGGCGACCACGCTGTAGTCGGTGTCGGTGGCGAAGTCCAGCAGCTCCTGGGCGCTCTTGTCGCCGGCCAGATCCAGGCGGAGGCACTGCAAGGGATCGGCTGGTCGTCAGCCGTCGTGGGAATACATTCTGAGAGAGGTCGACGGTCAAGCATGGGGAACGCCAAACGAAGCTAGAAATGTGAGAACTGAAAACCAGCACTTTGAGCCGCCTTGCATATTTGAAACGGTCGTAACGTTACGTCCTGATGAAGGCCCTGTATAGGCGCGTCCTGGCCAGGTTATAATGTGCCAGCTTTGTAGGTATCAGCAGGTGACGTGTTTTTGTTACGACTTAGTTAAATGGTGATGTGTCACAAATGACCATATCCCTCGCCAATTACCAGCGGGCAAAACATCCCAAAAGAATATTGCTGCTAATAAAGCTAATTGGCAGTCTCACCTTCCTGTAGTCGTTAGCGTACTGACAACGGTTGGCGACGTTGAAGACAAAGCGGGACACGTCAAACTTCTGGCTGTCGCAGTTGTCCATGTCAATGCCTGTGAAGCAGCAGTTGGGTCATGGTAATGTCGAGTTCATCGCAACGTCTAGTATGGCACACTTCTGTCAACGAGTTAGCTTTATAAAAGGAAAGACGATCTGGTTAACTTCTCAACGGTCGTGCTCAATACGATCGTGCCGTCTGATCAACGGAAACGGTCGCGGTGGCATGGCTCCCTCTCCCTCTCCCTCTCCCTCTCCCTCTCCCTCTCCCTCTCCCTCTCCCTCTCCCTCTCCCTCTCCCTCTCCCTCTCCCTCTCCCTCTCCCTCTCCCTCTCCCTCTCCCTCTCCCTCTCCCTCTCCCTCTCCCTCTCCCTCTCCCTCTCCCTCTCCCTCTCCCTCTCCCTCTCCCTCTCCCTCTCCCTCTCCCTCTCCCTCTCCCTCTCCCTCTCCCTCTCCCTCTCCCTCTCCCTCTCTCTCTCTCTCTCTCTCTATCTCCATCTCTCTTTTCCTCTCCCCTTCCCCTGCTCACCGTCGGGCGGTCCCTGCGGCGGCGGCGTAGCAGCCAGCGCCGGGAACAGAGAGGCAAAGAACCCGTGCTGCGGACCGGTGACGGCCGGCGGGTGGCGCACCGCGAACGGGTTCAGGTGCGAGCCGAACAGACCCAGGCCGGCGTCCTCCTCCTCCGTACCGGGACGCGGACCGAACACCGGCGCGAACGCCTCGGTGAAGATCTGGCCGAAGTTGGGCAGCTTCAGCTCAGGGAACTGGAAGAGCGGTCGCTGCGGAGGAATGACGGCTCCCGGCGCGGACGGCGCGGACTCTGTGGGACGAGACGGGGGAGATAGTGCCGGACCTGTGCTGTGCTGCCACCTGATCTGTGCTAGTTGGTCGCTCTACTACCTACTACCTGGTCACATTGGGAATGGTCAGATGGATAAAAATAACAGACAGCTTACTTAAGCTTATATCATGGTTACGTGCCGATTTTTGGCACTCATAAATCGATCATCTCAGTGCTCGAGCCAACTAATAGAAGGGCTTGCTCACTGTCCTGCATAACATGGCGATTTCTGTAAGAAACCGATAATTCGAAACACACCGTCCAAGTCTGAATGTGTTCAGCCACAGACTTCTCTATGTATATATAGAGAAGTCTGTGGTTCAGCCCATGACCGTGAAGCCTCACGATCCGACGCAGTTCGTGACCGCGCACTGGTGGTTCGTGAGTGTTCATTAGCCGTGTGAGGAGCGCGGCGGGCGTGCTTCGGTCACGGGTGGCCAGCCGAGCGAACCGTCTCAGTCCGTTCACCTCTTGTCAGCTGGATCCGTGGTGAAAGGACGAACGGCGATAGCTTGTCCGGGCTAGTGGAAGTGGCCTGACGCTCGATCAAAGAGATTGGAAACCAGTGGGAAAGGCGCTGATAGAGGAGTGGGAAGGTAGGTGGGAATGTTGGTGACGGTTTGCTGCTGTATGTCCGCTTTTCAGTTTTAAGTGTAATTGCTTCTCTATCAGCCCAATGATTCCATTAAAAGGTTTCAATGATGCGTGGTTTGTTATCCGATAAATTATGTGCGTTTTAACATGCCTCGATGAAAAACGACAATGGGCGCAGATGTTCATTTTGAAATGCTCTCTCCATCCAAACATGGAAACATGGCAGCGGTCGTTCCTTACCATCGATGCGGTCCGGACTGAGAGCCTCAATGGGCACCATCTCCTCCACCATGGGCACCACTTCTTCCACAACGGGCACCACCTGTTCCACGACGGGCACCACAGGTCCGTCGATGCTGTTCACCTCGTCCCGCGGGCACAGTCGGAACTGGACGCTCCTCTTTTGCGTGAACTGAAACGGGGCGGAAAGTGCGGATAAAACATCAGTTGGTGCATGTCATAGATGTAATGAAGCGTAACAGATTATAACTCACTTCGTTTCTCAATCAGACTTAACGCGATTTGAATAGCAGTGGCCATGATAAAATTTCAGGGTCTGGTTAGTTGAGACGCAGTCCAAGATGCGGTCCAATAAACAGCCTCATTTAGCAAGCGTGGACTGTACAGTGTACAACACAGCTGACCACTAAAGTCTAAATTCTTGACTGGAGGTCAGTGGCAAGGGAAAACCAAAATAACGCATATAGGAAATAGTTCCCGCTAAGTTAGCGGGCTAACTATTCCATTGTTTCAAATGAGTATATGCTAGCATTTCATTTCAAGTGTGGAACTGGTTTACGGTATACAGTTAGGTGCCACGCGGAAAGGTGTTCATATCGAATCATTGGTGGTTTGTTTCATGTTCTTACCGCTCCGTTCAGCAGAGACAGATGGAAAGAAGAGCTGAGACCAGCAACACCGAACTGAAACAAATGAAATGTGTTAGTTTGCTCGATGGAAACGTTCAATGAGAATCACAGGTGTATTTCTATATCCTCGTTATTTTATTGATCGTAGTCCTCGAGCAATTAGGCATCGTACTTTGCCAACTTGTGCTATATACCGAAGTGACGATATAAAAAAGATGACGACTACGTTTTAACGTCTGCGTTAACACGCCAAGTACTGTTTACCGGATATCGCTAAATAAATGCGCACGTACGATTAACCCTCGCCCGCACATGGGGGGAGGGGTGGTTGCCACCCCCCCCCCCCAGGCAGTCTTTCTGCTCTGCACTCAACATTTTTAGAGCTAGAAGGCTGATTTTTCGTATAGCTGCTCGTCTATCATTTTTTGATGTCCACTGAAAATTTCAAGTTTCTGTGATTTTTGGTTTCGGAGATATGACCTTGTTTTTCAGGTCATGTCATGACCCAAATGGCCAATTCTCAACATCTTGCGTTTGCCATGGGCCTTGTGAGCTTTTGACACCCTGATTTCGGCCTTTTTTGCCAGTCTTACCTCCCACCTATCATGGAACATGTTGTTCGACGAAGTACAGGGGTCAAGGTCAGGGTCAAGGTCAACCTAGGTCATCTAAGATAATTGCGTTTTAGGCAAGCTGAATTTACTTTTTGTGAAGTTTTTTGACTGCATTTTTGGTAAAAGCTTCTCAGATCATGATTTCATGTGATATGGACCCAAAAACAATCGGTGCACACATCAGTATACACACAGACACACACATACATACAAACACATATAATTGACCTTGACCTAACTTGACCTGAAATGATCTCAGCAGCAAAATTCTGGTCGGATAGTGTGACAAAGAGGTTCTAGCTGGCTTGGCACCAGAAAACAGCATCGTCATCGGTATTTGATAAGCAGCGCACTTGATATCCAACGGTGACCCAAAACAGCAACATTTTTTAGTTTGACCTGACCTGGAAGGTCAATGACTGACCTGAGAAGGTAAAACTGGGTATCATTGGATTCGTCTCTTCCCAAAGAATCTTTTTGGTCTTTACTGCTAAGCTCTATCTCCAACAGGAACGAAATGGCGCGGGGGGTGGCAACCACCCCCCCCCCCATGTGCGTTCTAGGATGGGAAAATGGCATGTGCGGGCGAGGGTTAAGGGCCTACGCAAACGTGGCGTGATATCGCATGCGAGCGAGGAGGGCTGTTTCAAACGCCAAGTCCCCTCGCGTGTTGGCCTTATGTCAACACGTCATATCCGTGCGGAAGTGTTGCCACGTAATTTTGGATAGGTACCGAAGCCACTCAGCGATGCCCAAGTCCAGAACTTGCGAGCTTCGAATGAAAATATGAATCGAAGTCGTCACTTTGAAACCGCTGCCTTTCATTTTCTGTGTTTCAGTATTGTGGCTTGTCTCATTTGTAATGTAAGAAATATACCTATTATTGGGACTTCGTCGATGTCCTTCTCGTGGCACTTGGAACCAACTACGAGTAAGGTAAGAAAGATTCGAAGAAAAAATATTTCAGGAACATAGAAAGACCTCTGGTGGATCTTTGAAATCGGCGCCTCTGTTCGTGGGAAGACTGGCTGGTCACTGACCACAGTCGCCATGGTAACTGACCGATGTGACCGTGAACTGGGGTAAAACACACACGTGTGACCGTGAGGTGACGGTGCCGAACGGTCCGTGACGGGACTATCGACCGCGCGGTCCGAGTCAGAATTCCGTGACCGTGACCGAGCCGGGTTCCCGGATCCGTTCTCTGTCACTGACCTGGCGTTAGTTCTGGTCAATAAAAAACGCACTGAATTTGTGGGAGCACCAGCGGTACATCTGTAGCCTTGTCACCCAAATGCACTGTGTTGACTTTCTACAGCACGCATAATCTATATTTATAGACTCAAATCCTGAGCTGTGTGATAGAGCATCAACATCAGCGTTCTTACCTCTTCCCTGTCGAGGAAGTCCCTCAGCTCAACAGCGGTCTTGGGCAGCTTGGTCAGGATGCACTGAAACAAAGAAACGTGATCGGTTAGTAGCATGAACACGGTGCGCTGGCTGCTTGTCCGTCTTTTTGGGCCCCTTTGTGCCTCATTTGACAGCTTTCGTGTTGCTATGGGAAAATTATGCTTGTTAATGTGCTGATAGTAATGCAATGCATGTCTTTCAACATATTTTACGTGCATTGGTAACTAGCAAGTGTTGTTGCTAAAACGGCAGAGACAAACAAACACTGCAAACTAATGCAAAGTAGGGGAGAGTGGGGAAAGATGCCCAGGGTTTGACTATGTCATATATTATTCGAAAATGACGATCGGAAAGCAAAAACTTGGAGTTTCAACGGAAGCCGACATCATTTTTCTCCAAAACTATCACACTTTCGTGCCTGAAATATGATAACTTTTTTGTTATTAAGCATTTTCCTGAAGAAGTGAAAGGGGGCATCTTACCCCACAGGGTGGGGAAGACGCCCCCTGGCGTTGGGTAAGATGCCCCCTGCACTATAACTGACATAAATAGGCACGTGAATCGCCTGAACGAATCAGTAGTCCCTTCGAGCCTGCAGTAGACACCAAACGTCATCGTAAGGGCCCTCAAAAGTAGTCGTAAGGGGCTTCAGAGGTCATCGTTAGGGCCATCATAGTCCAGCGTGGCCAAACAAGCCTCCGTGGTGGCGTTCGGAGACCACTGTGGGGCCCTTATAGGTCTTTATGATGCTTGAGGGCCCTCGAGCCCATCGTGGGGACCTCAGATGCCAGCGCGGCCCGTGGAGCCAACGTGGGAGCCCTCAAAGGATGTCGTGAGGGACCCTGGAGCCAATAATGGGGCCCACAGAGGCCGTCGTGAGGGCTCTCAGAGTCAGATTCCGCCCAAAAGCGCCGGCTCAGCCGCCGCAGGTTGACAAGCGCTTAACCCTCGCCCTGGCAGGGCATTTTTCATAACACAGCCTGGCAGGGGGGGGGGGGTCGATGCGACCCCCCCCCTCGCGATTGGCTCCTATGGCACCTAGAAGCACCAAATTTGGTGGGTAGGTGGGCCCCCTGGAGTTCTCGCCCCTGTGCAAATTTGGTTGCTCTAGGTCAATATTTAGGGGGGTTTTGGGGGGTATAAATGTAAAAATTTCGCTAAAAACAGGTCAAAAGTTTTTCGCTTATAACTTTTGATCTAATTAAGATAGAGCAAACAGAAAAGCACCAGTGAACTCAGCACGTCAAGGCGCGTCGAATAATATACTTTTTAGCTTGCTTAAGTGTACTTAAAGTTGTTCTTAAATTTTAAGTACACTTAAGTTAATAAATTAAGTTAAAGTTAACCAAATTGCATCATATCGTATATCATTCGATTCGGCTGATCACCAGGAACACAATGATACCATTTTTAAAGCTCTAGCGTCATTATGTGCCAAGTTATTGAAAAAAACGTCATTTGACCTCAGTTGACCTCATTTGACCTGACCCATGGATAAGTATACCAAACAAAGAAGCACCAAGTGACCTGCTGTTAAGTACTGTGGTTTCAAAGCACAAAAGTGATAGAACGAAGCGGATATCTCCAGTATTTGCCGAATTTATTATTTTCCCATAGGCTTAACATTACGACGTAATGACCTCTAACTGACCTCAGGTCACTGACCTCAAAAAACCCGAACTATATGTTATACAACTCGGTGAACTTAGCACATCCTGAAAGTTTGAAGGAAATCAGTGCAAAACTGTGAGTTGGACAGGTGCAAAAAGAAAATTGAAATTTGACCATGACCTTGTACCGGTTTTTCTGACCTGGTGACCTGACCCAAGGTCACACGGATCTGAAATTTTCAGGTCATATGTAAAAAGGTTGCCCCATAGGCTGTGCCAAATTTGGTGGCGCTGCGCGCCGCCGTTTTTACGCTATCTTCGAAAAACCTTAGGGGGGGGGGGGTCGCATCGACCCCCCCTGCCAGGGCGAGGGTTAAGTTGGCGACGACCGATAAAGGTCTTTATACGCCGTTGGCGCATAAATTGCCATTTGTCTCTCATCACAAGTATGTAATAAATGATTTGACGGGCTGCTTGAAGGACAGCCTACGGATTTAGGGGGGCGTCTTTCCCCATCAGGACAGGAGGCATCTTACCCCAAGGTACCGAAGTAACATTAAATCAGCGCAATTTGTTACCCATAAAACTACACCCTGAAACAAACTGTTTGGGACACTGTACACGCATGTTAATGTATCACGACTATAGCAAGGGACGCAAAAATTATCTACCTTCTTTGATCTTTACAATGTTTTGACGCCAAAATATTTTTTGAAAGCAGCAAATAAAAAACATGCAATCACCAGCCAGCCGTTGCCCAACTGAGCTTTGCAAATTTTTGTGCAGTTAACAAGGCAGGCTTCCGCTTTACGCTAAGAACATTAATTTCCCGGTTCGATTCTTTGTTTCCCCGCTAGAGGGGGTGGGGCGTCTTTCCCACCCTGGGCATCTTACCCCACTCTCCCCTAAAGTAACATCAGGGTATATTGAATTAGGAAGTAACATAGCATGCCTGTTTATGATACCCATTGTCCAAACCCCGGTCACGAACTCAACGGCTGAGCCATGAGAAAACTGCCATCCATCTCGCAAAGGAGCCGGAATGTGCTAAAACCATCACAGAACAGAAGTTCTATTGACCCTCATCAGCCCGCTGATGAGGGTCATGCGGTAAAAGATCGTGCCCTGCAACTGAACTCGAGACCCATTCTACAGCATGGAGTCCAAGCACGAGCGGGTGCCCAGTGCCCACCATATCGGTAAGAGTACCCGGTTCATCGGACACGCCTGCCTCGGGCCATCGATGACGTCATTGTGACGTCATAAGGTAACGGGATCTGTTGGGTCGGTCGGCCTGGTGCGATCGGACGCCGAACCCTTCCATGGCTCCGAGACGGCGGTAGGCCAACTCATGGACAATGGCATTCTCGCCAACCCAAGGCTCGAGAACTCCCGCCAACCCTTCGCCGGCCTGGTAGGTGTAGTCTTCTGCGCGGATAGACGGCGGCTGCCGCGACGAAGGGTTTGACAGTGGACACTGGACAGCGGGCGGCAGACAAGAGACGGTCTCCTTTCACTGACAGGAGACAGCAGCGTGCTGCTTAGAATGACTTGCGTAGAAAAACTGAACCATCTGCTTTTTCGCCGTGCCAGCCGGTTCCCATAGATTGGTGAGTGTACGGCGGCGCCTGGTTTTTGGTCGCATGACTGGTGCACTGCCGGACGGGCCAACGCGGTGCGGTGTATCATGGGTGGAACACGGCAGAATTTAAAGGACTCATGGCTTCTGTAAAAGACTCCTTCTGTGCAGGAAACCCTAGCTTGTATCGGCAAATGTGATTGCACTCAACAATGACAAATTATGTCATGATTATATGATACATACCGCATTATATTTTTCAGAAGACGAGTTCATGTCGACATTTGGTGACAGGCGCGATCCATAACTCACAGCACTACATATGATCCTGACTGAACGGTCCAGGATGTTCAGCATTGTCTTCATGTCGCTGGAAATGATAACGTTTCCTACATGTCGGCTACGATTTGTCTTTGTTATGAAGCACATTGTGGTTGTTGTTTGACGAAGCAGTTAAATCATACTTGTAATGTTACTTGAGTACACTGGGCTCCATGTAATAGCTTTCATTGTTTCAGCTGTACTAAAATGGACTGTTTGACAAGCATGCACCTTTAAACAAAGGTCGGCTGCTTTTTCATGCTCGATATTCATCACACTTCCATGTTTCCTCCAATCTTCGGCCTTCACTGACTCTCCTGGGCCCAGGCTCTGGACTCCAAGGCTCCAGTCACTAACCACCTGGTGATGAGCACAACCGGTCCTAAAGCAGCTGAGAGTGTGTGACGTCACGGATGACTCGCCACCACTTATAGTGACGTCACCCAGGTGACCGCCGCCGGAGAGTCAATGTCAGACTAAGGTCAGCGGGCTGTTTCCAGAGCCGGTGCCAGGCTGTGCCGCCCTCCCTCTGTACACACTGGTGGAGTCATGGTATAGATGCCTTGTCATCCGTGTTGACTGAACAGAAATCCACAGGCTTATACCTACATACGACTCAGATGAAATCATAGAAGGTAAACTAGGGAATCGGTTTTTGAGCTCAGATGTAAACTGAAGTGCTCATAATATTTATGCTGGCTTGAGAAATGCTTTGCTGACAAGCATGTTATAGCCAAGCAAGCTGAGGAAAAATTCATCGCCGCAGCATCCAGCGGTTGAGCGGGATCCGTCAGCTTTGTTAAAGGGACCCTCCCACCTTCAAAAAAGTTAATGAATTGGCACGAAAGTGATGTCGCTCGGTTCAGAAAGAGCGAAAACGAATATCTACCAAATTTCATCGAAAAATATTCACCGGTTTTCAAGATATTAGACTTTTACTTTTGTTTACTTTTTGGGATCTCCGCTGTTCCTAGCGACTTTATTTGAAAGTGCGGCATTTGTTGCGCGCAAAGCAGCATATACCACCGCGTGCTACCAAACGTTTTAGTAAAAGATTTAAAAATCGTTAGATCTCCGCTGACGTCACAAATTCTAAGGGGGCATACCAATGCACTAGCCCCTTAGAATCCGAAAACTGCAAGTTTGAAATTACATATCTCCGAATTAAAGCATTTGTCGATGTTGTGAGTGCCCAAACCGGTATTTGCAGGCCATGGCCACCAATTTGGCTATCTCAACTCAAAACTAATGTTAAGGTGGGAGTGTCCCTTTAAGCCACACCTGTCCAATGCAAACCCGGGTGCTAGCTCCCCTACGGTGTCCTATTACGCTCTCCAAGGTCAAAGTTCATGCATTATAGATGAGCGGGCGTGCTGCACCGGCTCCAAGATGAGCCTACTCCTTATGTAAGCACCGATTGCCGAATCGAGGGAGACCTTGGGTAACTCCCTCCTCCGACAAAGCTTGGGACTCAGGATAGCGTCACAGGACTCGCAGCAGAGGTCATCAGAGGTCATTGAGTCATTAGGATGATACTGCAGTTTTGCCTGGTTGGCTGATAATTGATGGTCCTAATGAGGTGAGGACTAGGTGTTTTGGAGCTTCGATACTCGGTGTCTGTCATACATGGCAGAATAACATGTCGGAGTAGCTCTTGCTGTTATAGTCCGACCGCGAGGGACAGACAGTCAAAATGTTCATTGGCTCTGTGCGTTTTGATACGGAGGGCTTAGAGACGGAACTGAACATTTGAACAGGTCCCCATATTTCGCAGGATTCCATGACCATGTCTTGTGAGGCTTTGCCTATTCCTTAATCGCGAGGAAACCTTACATTGCTCATTGCTGTACGCTGCATGACAGCTTATTCTTATTTCGCATGTCATAAAGTAGTCGGCATATTTTGGGTAAATAGAAGTCTGGAAAGACCAGCAGTTTTCACATGTTTGACATGGTTTGAAAGTTCAAGAGGGCCGATGCCGCCTGCTCCGATACCAGCATTCAGGGAACATCGGTATAAACAATGAACCATTCTTTGAAAGTCATTGATAACAGGTAAACAAGTAACAACAATTGCTACAGTTGTTACCGCATCTATCACAATGGCCAAATAACCGGCCACACCTGTGACTGTTTAGTGCGTTCCGCGTTAGAACGTGACTGCTCGGAAATGTTCCCAAACATGGGCTATGGGAAGCGCTATGGTGCCTTACGAGCTTCCTGCATTCGAGACACGCGATATAAATGGTTCGCAGGTTTTACGCCACTTGTCTCTCGCTGTTCCTTGATCTCTTTGTAGATAATTTACAACAAACTTGTATACCGTGGTTTCCGTAAGTTGTACAGGTCCAGCCACAAATCTGCCTGCGGCTAGCCTTCCAAGTGGCATTCCAAATGCCCAACGACAAACGTGTTCGACCAGGAACCCTCTCAGTCCTCTGGCGATCACTAACCTCTTTGAGCTCGACGTCGTCTCCACCGGAGGCCTTCTGACAGTCCATGACGATGTCGAACTCGTCGTCGGCGAGGTCGAACTTCCCCAGGTCGCAGTTGGGCTCCTCCTCCCGCACGGCGATACCAGACGGATGGTCCACGTTCACACCTGTCGAAAGAAGAAGGGGAAGAGAGCGATGGTGAACGGACTTGCTATCTCGATTTTTTTATTAATATTTTAATGGAGTTGCACAATGCACATAGCTCTAGCAAATCCTGTGTTGAAAAAAGCTTGAATTTATTCTTAGCTGAAACCCACAATATGGGGATATTTGTACCTTTGCGTCTTCTGTCTTGAGTAGTCATGGTCAAATTATTTCTATTCCACCGCTGACACGAAGCGACGCAAAACTGAACAGATCTCTAAGCTCCTTGCTCCTCGGGCGCCTCACACACCGCTCCTCCATTACCCACAGATCGCAAATTTTTCGTCTAAAACGCACCTCTGGGCTCTGACCAATCATTACCAGCTCAGTGATGGCCACCCAATCCTCTCAGCCGATGTTTTTAATCTCCTCTGAAGGCTGTTTTCAGGGAAAGAGAGGATTACCAAAAGCTACCGCGTGTTTATCAGCAGAGCATCTGTAGCACCAGGTCTCTGGATCGTCCAAACACGGGTGCCGGTTTTGGCGGCTTATGTAATAGTCATGAGAGGTAAAGGGTAGCCGCTGGGGCACCGAGCTGAAGGGAGCGTGGTATGGCGGGGTAAATATGTGGTGTGGATCTGACATGAGCGAGCGTGGTGTGGCGTGCAATAGACTGATTTCAGGAGCTGGGTAGCGGAGAAGTGCTGAAATGGGGAGATGCACGGATACTCCGCGCGGCGCGCGTTGGCCAAGTTGAGGGTTGGTGTTTCATTTATAAACATCTAGAGGATGGCCTGTGTCATTTGGATGCTGCTGTTGCCAGTGCACTGCAACATCAGCGAGTGACGATAGTTATAATTTATCAGCTGCATTCCTTCTGAAGTCTTGCATCGATTAATTGACAAAAATGTTCAGCTCTTGCATCAGTCTAGCCACCAAATTTTTCCACGCTACACCCGGTAGCTGACCTTAATTCCCAATCCTTTCTTCAAACACCGATAGCCCAATTGTGACCGGCTCGGCACACAGCGGCGGTTCAGCGAACTGCCGGTCGCGGCACACGCCGGCACCTCGTCCTCCTTCCAGGTCAGCTGACTGGCGCTCCCCGCGACGGTCCGCGGCCTATCCAGCTCAAATAGAGACCGGCCCCAGAGCTGGGTCGTTCAACTCGGCCAGACGGCAGAGAATTGGAGCTCAGTCACGCAGCCGCGATACGGTACACATCTAGTCATCGTCTGCGAGAAATGGTAGTCCGATCGACAGAAATTCGGCCTCAGAGGGAAAATACCGGGTCTGCTCTCAGAGTTTTTGGAGATAATGAATGCCGACCTCTATGATTTTGTTAGTTACTGAGAACCAGCAGGCGTAGGTATACTCCTGGTGAAGAAACTCTCTAGATGACTGAACGATGTTGTACGACTAACCACGAGATGACAACTTCGTTTGTATCCACCGCGCCAATGGAGGTTTAGTGAGACAAGTGATTGTGATGCCCGCTCTCGAAGCTGTTTAACAGCTAATACGAATCCGTAATTAGACTGCCCCTCGCTGTATTTGATTACACTCGCTCTGGCTCTTTCCACCACCATGCTGTTCTCTATTTGCCGTCCAACCCCGATGAGAGCTGCATGATAGTCACCAGATAACTCTTTTCCACGCTGTACGTCGCCCACCTCGACCCTTGCAACTAATCCAGCACCATCTCGGTCGGTCACTCACCTGCGAACACCCGCAGCGGCCTAAAGAGGTCGGAGAGGTCGAGTTTGGGCAGCTGGAGGGCGAACACGGCCGCCGACTCGTCCGGTACGCGCTGCGGGAACGGCTCCGGCGGCAGCTCCGGACCCAGCTCATCGCTTCGGTGTTCCGGACCGAAACGGAACTTGAAGAACGGCACTGAAATGCAGGGAGTTACAGCGGTTAGAGAGCACAGGGGAGCGCACATGTGGATATTGTAAGGATGGTGTTTGATTTTTCTGGTTGAATGCGTTTTTTTGTGTGGGAGAAATTGTGATGTCGGCAGATGCCCGACCGTCTTGAAGCGTCTGCGTTGCATGATCGGCTCTTACACGCTAGTAGAACTGTGCCGTAACGTTAACTTCGGTTCAAAACTTCAATCTTTAATAGTTAGATACCTTTCTATTGTGTCTTCTCTCAGACAAGCCAAATGAACAGTCCATACTCAAACTTGAGTTCCATCTTTTTTGTAGCAGATTAGCTAATGCAACCGGAGCTGCTACAGTATGTTAGGTGCAAAAGTCAGTCACCTCTTCTGTTTCGCCTGCGTGGAACTGGTTTAGAAAGCAGGCCAGACCAAATTCAACTGGATATACCAGTACGCTGACGAGCGGTTTCAAAGACCAGCGATGAATAATTCAGCGATGAAATAGGCACCCGTTTTTTCCATGGCTCTAGCGTTCCATACTCGTTATCTATCCGCTATCTAGCAGCGTCGAAGGTTATTGCTGATATCTGTCGTTCGAACGCTGAGCATGTAGCTTACCGAAGGCATCCATAGCTTGGAAAGACATGGTGAGGATTGAAGGCTATAAGCCAGAAGCCTCCCTACACATTACTTTGAATGCGATTTATTTTTTAAAGTATGGGAAAACCTATGAAAACACAGTCAAAACTTGTTATAATCAATTTTTTTCATTGCACGAAAAAAAAAAGTTTTGAAAGAAATAAGCTTCGAACCGTCTTTTAAACGGCTTTTAGAGCTTTCGTCCGAGCCTGAAGTGGATAGGTTTTACCGGGAACCTTCGTCAGCATACATCACGATGGCCAGCGGCGGTTTTTCGCTTACGTCCTTTGGATAGCCGCCATGTTCGACTCTACTGGGCTCTGCATAAGAACATGATCCAGCTGCCCCCAATATGTGCGGCTGCGACGGACTGGCCGCCGCGGTGACCAGGGTTTCATCCAGGAGCCGCTTTCACCAATGTTTTCACTCACGGACCGGGCGAATGAAGAAGGCGGCAGCCGGCGAGTTTTTCCGCTGTACCATGACTAGTACACTATGAGGTGAACTGACGTCATATCCTATCCTTTACCAACATAAAGGTGCCGATGGTAACCACATCTTGATGACGTATATACCAGGCATAGGTATATCATAATACTACATTTCCGGGATGTTACGTGTTTGAAATGTGTAGGAAGATACGCCTTGCTTCACCAAAGTTCGACTACGCATGCAAATGACGATATAAAAAGGATAAGAAAGAAGCTAAGTCGTTGAACAAACTGCTTTGCCCCATGTTCTATTGAGCGCTACGTTTTATGATGCTCAATACAAAAGATAAGCGTTACGTAGGTACCGTCGCCAGCGTATTTTAAAAGTTTCACGAGTTTCTAATTTATACAAATTTGTATAGATAATGGATAGGTAGGCAATTATTGGCTAAACAATAAAAATACTAAATGTTTTCACTACGAAACTTTATTTGTAAAAAAAAAATCAGAGCTCCCAAGAACGGTATCAAAAGGATGGTGCACGGTAAAGTTGCCTAAGCATGGCATTTATGATTTATTTGTTGGTACCTACAGTAGCATCAGGCTACAAATACAGTGCACCTAAATCCTAATTAATGAAAATCGTCACAAGTGACTACTAACCTGCCTGGACGGCGCCCAGAAGAACGATCAGCGGCAGTAGGCACCTCATGTCGGCTCGGCGGCTGGTGGATGACTGGCGGCGGCTGGCGCACGGAGCGGCCTCCTCACCACCGGGTACGGACAGGTGGAACCAACCCGACCGGCACGGCACGGGACGGCAACGGGACGGGAGGGCGTCACCGAACCATCGAGACGGTGGGCGGGGGGGAGAGGGAGGGTGCACTACGTGGGGAGAGGGGCGTCGGGTGTTTTTCGGAGGAGTGAAAATGGCGCAGATTCCTGGATGTGTTCGTGGGCTGAAAGAAACTGCTAGAAGTGCGTATCATGTTATGATGAAAACTTGACCCAAGAATTTAGGTTGGAATGTGAAGAGGGTGGAAAGTTAAAGTCGAAATGATGCACCGAAACGGTACAATGTGGATGAGAACTGAAGTTTTTGAGTGACGATTGACGAATGAAAGAGCGTTACCTATATTGATGGACATCAAAGCTTTGTCCGTTTGTTTGTCCGTTCTGGATCCCACTGTCCCATTTGTTGTTTATTTCCCATCGTGCTCTGGTTTGGAGCGTCTCTGATGTTAAGCAATTCCAAACTTTCAGGGAGTAACCCATGAAGCCCATATGAAGCACGCTTGTCCTGAGTTGTATCGGGTGTGTTTATGGTGTCATACTGTCTTGCTGACAGCCATTATCATAAGGCAGTTGGTCAATTTACTAAAAATGACCAGCCGGAGCCAGGCACTGTCACCATGACTGTCATATATTTGGCCAGTGACCCGGCCATCTGGTCTAAAACATGTGTTAGCTTCATTCTAAATATGTATGATGCGATAGATATTCTGACGTTAATGCGATCACACTTCACGGGAGTGTCATGTCGACGCTCAATCCCTGACACATCCTAGGCTACGCGACTGCCACCGAACCAGCAGAGCCAGTCCTGAGCGACGGGGGCACCCGTGTTCCGGTCTTGCCAGTCAGCTCGACCCGACTCTGAGCCGACAGTTGCTGGACGGCCGGACTCGATACATACCCGAGCGGCGGTGCCGGGCGGCTGAATCACCGACTGCAGAGCCGGCGCGGCGCTCACAATCGGTGACAGAGGTCGACGACACCGGCCGGTCAGGTCACCGGCTGACGGTCACGTGACCGGAACCTGCCTGTCACGTGACCATTCCAGTTGTGCGGCTGATTGGCTATCGCGCTGCGGCTGAGGTGTGCGGAGATTTTTCGAAGAAAAAAAAAACTGGAGAATCAACAGTGGATTAACAGCGGCTTTGGACCGAGAGGAACGTGAGTCAGATGCTGCCGAATAAGTTCCCCTAGGCGAGCGCGCACGGGTACCTACTGTTTAAAGAAGAAGCAAGCACTTTTGCTGTTGGGACCTCCTATTTGGGTTTATAAAAAGCATGAAGATGTATTGGATAGAAAGGCTGTTCAAATGTGGCCATGCATGGTATCTCATAGCCAAACTAAACATTAATGATGGTGATCTGTCTGTCTGTGGATCGATGAATGATGTTTAATGAATAAATGGCTGAAAAAACGTCAATCGTGACACTTGTGCGAATATGTTGTTTGACACAAGAGCTTGCATATAGCGCAGTTCGATGACCACAGCATTATCGCGAGCCTTACTGTTTTATTGCATATTGAGCTGTTATCAGTGAAATTAAAATATTAGCCGGCTACAGTTTTAAAAGATGCGGCACGCTTTTATGCTTCAAATGAGGACTGTTTTATTCAACCGTGGCCGAAGGATTTCAATACAGTAGCGGCGGAACACCTTCAATTAAGGGGAGGCACTGCCGACTTTTGGACCCATTTTTTTTTTTCTATGCAACGCCCATAGGGCTAATGTTAAAATGCCAAAATCAAAGGGGGGCACGGTGCCCCGGTGCCCTCACCGTTCCGCCGCCTATGTTTCAATATCGTAGGTAATGTCTCAAAAACTAATAGATACCCTTTCGTACACAAGCACTCCGTTATTTTACTCGATGAAATGTAGAAAAGTGACTTGAGAGGGCTGCGTTTTTAACACACATTAGCCTGCAAAGCTAGTCTACAATGAATAAAAAAAAAATGATATCTAAGACTATCGTAAATTTTTAAACTCCATTGGCGGCGGTTTTATGGCACTTCTTATGTAACCGCTGAATGTTCGAGAGGCTTTCAATTATCGGCTAGCTGCACATCATGCATAGCAGCGCGGCAGCTTGATTTCACTTGGATAGGTCGGATCACTGCCGCAAGCCGAAGTCCGAACGCTGAACAGACTGGCCTAACCGGAGTGTTGACGGATGTGGCGCACTTCCGTCGACTTTCTCCCGCTCTCCGGAAAAAAAAACATTCATCTTGAAGCACTAGGTCGTTTCAGATGCATTCCTTGAATTGGTATTAAATACCTATACCTATCTATAACCTACCTATGAAATAATTGTTGGTCCAATTTTTTTTTTTTTTTGACTTAGCTAAGGGTAATTGAATATGTTCTGTGGTGTTATAAAATGCCGGTAAGCAAGTTTTGATACAATGCGGCTACGACCCAGGCCTGTTAGTGCGTTACCGACTGACATGATCGTGGTGTTGAACCACAAATGTGCTGAGTTATGTTCCTTGCATAATGCAATGATTCTTCCACACATAAAGGACGAGAAGAAGGAAAAAATACAAAACTAAGAATGCGCACCCTATTTATTCTATAGGCATAACAAGTGTATTTAGAGATAAAAGCGTATTTGATTTGAGAGCCCAATGTCGTTGACTCAAAATACTGCATCGGACCGAGTACCTACCGCGCCCACTAAGAATTTACTACCGTAGTAAATTCTTGTAATTACTACCGTAGTAATTTCAAATTTTAAACTATTGCACGATCCTACCTATCTTGCCGTACTTACATGACCACCAAGGAGGCCCGATAGCAGACATGTGCATGGATCCGAGAAAATGGATCTGGGATCCGACGGGATCATAGATCCAGCTCTGTAATTTATCAAGAGATCCGTAGGGATCATAGATCCGAGTCTCATTTTTGCTTGAGATCCAGTGAGATCATAGATCCTCACTTATTTTTGTCAACACATATGTCCCAAAAAAGCACTTGTTTCAGCTCAGAAACGTTCTGTTTTAGCGATTTTATGTCATCGCACGTCATAATCCATAGTTTTGTATCACTTATTGGCATAGAAACCCTTTAAAACATGGTTTCAAATGTGGTGCATGGTAGGATCCACTCAGATCATAGATCCATGTTCTTAATTTATCGTCAGATCATGTGAGATCATAGATCCAAGATGTATTTTTCACGCCGGATCCGGTGGGATCATAGATCCCAACCTGTACTTGACTTCGAGATCCACTGAGATCATAGATCCATTACTCGGATCCATGCACATGTCTGCCCGATAGACTTTCGGATCGCACGTGTTCCCCGAGCCCAGTTCGGCAGCCCACTTTGGCAGCCCACTTCAGATCTAAAACACATTGCCGGAACCAACTGTAAACACACGTGTCTTGTACTCATTATCACGCACGTCTATCTCTTGTCCAGTGACATTACAGGTTTTAATTCTTTGTTGCGGGTTTGCCCGCTAATTTCCGGGTCGGTTGAGCCAGTCTCCCGGTACCTCAATCGGAGCACGTTAGCTCTGAACCGGTGGGACTCGTTTTCTGGAGTCTCGAGCTCAACAGTTGAAGGCACACTGGCGGACCTGCCTTGTGTGTCTGTGAGTGACCTACTCTATATCGCCTTACTTCGAGGACAAAGGGCAAAGGCGCTGCAAAGTCACCGCAGCAATGATGTAGGCACCGACTAATGCCAAAAAACCGTTCAACTGACCTATAAATGTGCACAGTGCACATTTCGTAATTTTTGCGATGCATAGCTTTACTGTTAATTCGTACTCATGATTTAAAATTGATCAAGCTGGCACAATGCATATACCTGCAAATCACACTTCATATCGTTCCACTGATGCTCCTTCCCCCCAAGAAGGACGCAGTCCTGTTCTCCGGCATAGTTGTTAGGCTGATCCTCCAACCAGTTGGTGTAGTCCAGGGCTGAGTTGTCGCTCCACACGAACTCCCCATTGTCGTTCAGACGGACCAGGCCCACCCACACGTCAGGCGCGTCCTGAAGCAGAGCGTCGATGAACTCACTAGACTCGAGGTGCACCGACGCCAGCCGGGCCCGCCGCTGCAGACTGGCGCAAGAGCGGTGCGCCAGGTACCAGGTGGTCTTCTGCAGGGTAACGAAGTAGCAGCTGTTCTTATGACGACTCCAGCCGAACGGACACTCGCAGTGTTGGAATTCTCATTTTCAGTCCTGGTCCCGGAGAATAAAATCTGGCCGGAGAACAGCAGCCCCGAAATTGGATATGCGGCCGTGACACTGGCGGATTCGGGGGGGGGGGGTGCATTCGAAACATTTTCCCCTCCCGCAGTATCCGAAATTAACGAAATTTCCCTGTTTTCCTCTCAAGAAATAATTCATGTGAATTGTGAAAGCAAACGGCAGACCCCTCTCGGCACGGGCCGGCAGAGGTCATAAAAAACTTGATAACCTACTGTCAGTATGATTTCGACAGGAAATGTGTTGTTTATAGAGCACATCTTCCCTTGTTGAGCTCTGAAGCTCGACGTTTCTTTAACTTTGAACTTGAGTTGCTTATTAACCAGCTGACTGGCCTTCCGACAGGGACCTACAAATGGGCGTCTCCTAGTCCTGCCTCGCCTGATCTTCCCGGCTGTTCCTGATCCAGAGCCCACAAGGCTCACCCAGCTGACGTGGACCACCAGAAGACGCCTGTGATCCTGTTTGTGCATTCCCATGTCAATCCATATTTATTGGAACGCGTTAAAATGAAGCATCTTTTTCTGACACATTGTGTGTAGAAGCTCGTTACAGTGCAGCGATGCAAATTAACTTAAATCGTTTTTGTTTTTATTGGAAGGACTGATGGCCATGCAAAGATAAGTGTTTTGATTTGTTAAGGGCAATCTCTTTCGGCTTGAAAATGTCATTGCGGAGCTGTGGGATGACGACATGATAGCTGGTGGAGCGGAGCCATTGGACCGTACGTACCATCGATGGTGCGCCACAGCGGCAGAGACCGTCAAGAGGACGAAAGTGGCTACGGTGAGCCGTATCAGGAAAGACCTTTCAGGTGGGACGGGAGTTCCCGTTTGGACAGCCCACTCTATCGCTCATAGGGCCATCCCGAAGAGGATTTAGATCGGTCGAGATCTTGTCCTCGCCACCGCGACGGTTATCTGGTGGGGGTTGAGTA